CCATGGTTTTTCCACACAGATCTAATAGGCTCTTTGTAAAGCATAATGGCAACAGTCTAATGAGTTGCAGGGAGATCTTGCCACTGAGAAGAACTACGATGAGGAAACAGTCACAGCGGCAACGGAGTTCAACTTTCAGAGCAGAATTCGACGACGGTCTGGTCTGTCTCTCTCTCTCTTTTTTTTTAAGTTTCTAAGCATGGGAAGCTTTGAAAAAAAAAACCTGACTAACCCATCTAGACCGGCGGGTTACCCGGGTTAATCCCGGTTTACTCCGAGTTAAACTGAGTCATGCCGGTTCACTGTGATCCCGGTTTTGTTAACCAACCAAACCGAACAAGTGACCGGTATGTTGGTTCCCAGTCTGAACCGGCCGGTCCGGTCCGGTTTTCCATACCATGATATATATATATATAGAGAAAGAGAAAGAGGATTGTATCTTATACACCATACAAAACTTGTAACTCATGTATAGAGAGAGGGGAGGAGAAAACAACAAATCTTTAATTTTCTGACTTTGTAAAAAGGTATGAATTTAGCCACTTAATTTCTTTTAAAGCATTTTGTAGTATTATAATATGAACCTTGTTAACTTTTTAGAAAAGGTTGTTATCTAGATTTTTATGATATATTATTTTAAGTTAACTTTAAATTTTAGTTCTCTTTAAATTAGTTTTCCATTTTTAAATAACTTATAATATATATATCACAATAAATTCTAGAATGAAGGGAAAATGATACAAAAATGATACTTGAACTTGGAAATGCCAAAATGGTCAATTGAATTTGTAAAATCCTAGTTTAGTCACAAGTGACCAATTTGACATTTATAAATTTGCTGAAATGACCATATTACCCTTCATTTTATTTATTGTTTTTTAAAAAATCAAAACCCCCATTGGCTGGCCGGTCGCTGGAGTTCTGGTGCCGGCGGCAGCGGCCGTCATTGGAGCTTCGATGACCAGCTGACAATTGGTCACCAGAGCTTTGACGGCTGGATTTTTTTAAATTTTTTTACAACTTCAGTATAATGGTTAACAACTTTTGTAACATTATTAACAACTTAAATATAGTAGTTAACAACAGGTTTTCTAGAAAATTCAAAAAGTAATATTTTTACAACTTCAGTAATGCTGCTAACAAGTTCCATAACTCTATTAAGAACTTCGGTATAATAGTTAATAATAGGTTTTCTTAAAAATTTAAAAAAAATGGTATTTTTACAACTTTAGCAACTATTTTTTTGGGAAAATTTTTACAATTTCAGTATAACAATTAACAACTTTTGTAATGCTATTAACAACTTTAATATAACAGTTAACAATAGGTTTTTTAGAAAATTCAAAAAGTGACATTTTTACAAATTCAGTAATGCCATTAACAAGTTCTGTAACTCTATTAACAAGTTTAGTAACATTTAACAACAGGTTTTCTGAAAAATTTAAAAAGTGGCATTTTTACAACTTTAGTAATGTGGTTAACAAATCATAATGATATTAACAACTCTCATGACCATAAGGTGAAAAAACCTTCCTAAATAAACTGATAAATTTTTTTTTATAGTAACTTTAAGAAATAACTTTTTATAACCAAATCTTGCTAAATACAAACTCAAATTATATTACAATCATCTACACTAACTAATTATATAATAACGTTATCCGTGATAGAAAAGAGCAGCACCCAATCATACATCCTATCACGAATAAAAGAACTTTTCTTAACTCATTTAAATACAAACTATGTAAGAAAGGATCAATCTTATCTAATATGGTTATAAAACAACATATAACATAGCTCATAAATCAAAATATTAAGAATTATATCTTAATTAATATTTTATAATAAATTCATAAACAAATCACATGCGATCCTAGGCCTCTAGCCAACTACCAGCTTGCATATCACAATAGTACAAATCAAAGGACATAAAACATAATAATGTATGAATCAATTAAATACAGTTTATCCTAAGGTGGTAATATACAGGAAACAACATAACTCATAAATCAAGGAGACACTACAAGTCGCTAATGTAGCTTTACTTCTCCTGAACCTTCCTTGACGTCCCTTCTCTAAAGCTTTTACTTGAAAAATATTAAACAACAAGGATGAGATAATGTCTCAGTAACTAAATTCCTACCTATCACACACACTAACATGGGCTAGTAAGGTGTCAGGTGGGATACATAGAGTTAATAACAATCAATAGATATTTATTTAACAATTAAACTCATAATAATCATATAAGTCAAATATTTTTGCCAATCTCATGCGGCTGATGATTTCAAAAGAGATAATATACTTTTTATTTGTTCAAAAGATATAAATATCAAATGAAGTACCATGTCATATGCAATCCATGAACCCCAAATCCATCCTTATATCCTCATTATTTTTGCTGATTGGACCCATAGGCTAAGTTCTTTCTATTTAACTAGCTACCCTGACAAGCTTACCACATGAGTGATATGGACCGGCCAAAGACCACAGAGCACTCAGTGGACCATGGGTCCCCCCTCGAAGAACTAATAGGGTGTCGCAGTCTCTCGAAGAATTAGTGGACAATAATAGTGGCCAACCATAGAGCTCCATATGAAGGCCGATATCACGTGGCATGTATATATCTGTATACTCCAATTATCTCCTCCCCTAACCAAACCAGATGCACAGGGTTCACAATAACACATTTATATGCATAATCAAACGAATTCCACAATAATATCTCGTAGTCATAATCATCAATTTATAACAATACAAATATTTCAAACTTTTTTCAAAATAATATCCCACAAGACAGTTCATACAAAACATAATATATGTATATGAAAATTGATCATAAAATCACTCACCAACCTTATACCAGAGTATGCAATAAATAGAAATTTAGTTACCTGCCCGTACTTGAAAATGCCATGGTAGTATTTATATCTACAATTAAAATTAAAATATTATCTCTACAGTATTAGAGTAAACTACTCACAAATTTATAGTCTTTAACGCTTCCTCTAGTACCTTCGACTGTCACTCAAAATTCTAGCCAGAAAGGCTTTTTTTTAAGTTTGGGGTAAGAACATATATATGATTATTTATATTCAATTCCTAGGTTCCCTTAACTTGCATTATATTTAATTATTAAATTATGCAATTTGAATAACCAAATTCATAACCTAAATAGAGAACCCTCAATTTATAGTTTATGTTCTATCTTTGAAGAATTTAGACAGACAACCTCAAAATGAGTTAATTTGCTCTTACTGTAGAAGTCTAATTATTAATCCAACCGTTGAATTTAATGTCTTACATGTGACAAGTCTACTCTCTAAATTTCGGGTTAATCCAACGATGAGTGAATTTAAAATACTAATTTACTATCTGGTGTTTTGTCTACCAAATCTAAAAAAAACAAATGGAAAACGTGTCTAATAACTTGTAACTCAAAGATTGAATTAATGATCCAACTATTGAAATTGACGAGTATGAAGTCTAGGACCATCTGACCAAATTGCAGCTCGATCCAACGGTTCACAAACTTGTAAACAACACTTTACTGAGACTGTCTCAGTTTTGTACGAAAATTATTTAATTCATTTTTAACTCTCCCCTACTACCACCAATATATAGGCTCTTAGAGCTCCCTCTTTTCATGATTTAGTTGATGTGGGACTTCTCAACATTGCTATTTTATCTATCTTCTCATCATTTAGTCAATGTAAGACTTTTTAACTTTACTATTTTATTCATTTTCTCATACACACACACACACACACACACACACATATACACACGTACATAAGATCATAATTATTTTAATTGTTTATATATATATTCAACCTTTTTTTATTGAATCATAATAAATATCTACTTAAACCTGAGGATAACAAAAATCAGGATGTTACATAATGGCTACCTAATAAGTGAAAAAATTTTGTTGTGCCACTTTCATAGGGAGCTAATATTAAAAACATTAACTTTTATGAGAGTTGCTAATATCATCACATGACTTGTTAATCATGTTACTGAAGTTGTAAAAATACTATTTTTTTAATTTTTCAGAAAATCTGTTATTAAATGTTATACTGAACTTGCTAATAGAGTTACGGAACTTGTTAACAATATTATTGAAATTGTAAAAATGCAACTTTTTGAATTTCCCAAAAAACCTATTGTTAACTGCTATATTGAAGTTGTTAATAGCGTTATAAAACTTCTAAACCATTTTACTGAAATTGCAAGAATTTTCAAAAAATATTAGTTGCTAAAATTGTAAAAATTTCTTTTTTTTAATTTTTAAGAAAACCTGTTGTTCGAGAAGAATTCTTAAGGCCGAGTAGAACCAATGATTTCACACTCGTAACCATTGAAAGGGGAAGCCGAAGAGCTACAATCCCTTGATTTCGTAGCCATTGCAGAGGAAGAATCAAAAGACTGTATGTCTGGAGGAAATACAGCCAAAGATTGTTAATAGAGTTACGAAACTTGTTAAGGGTATTACTGAAGTTGTAAAAATACTATTTTTTGAATTTTCTAAAAAAATTGTTGTTAACTGCTATTCTAAATTTGTTAATAGCATTACAAAAGTTGTTAATCGTTATACTAAAGTTGTAAAAAAAATTTTAAAAAAAGGTAGTTGCTAAAGTTGTAAAAATGCCATTTTTTTGAATTTTTAAGAAAACCTGTTATTGAGTGCTATACCGAAATTGTTAATAGAATAAAGAAACATGTTAACGGTATTATTAAAGTTGTAAGAATGCTACTTTTTCTAAAAAATTTGTTGTTAACTGTTATACTGAACTTATCAATTGTAGAGATATGATATGATTTGATATGTAAATGTTATGTAATTATGATTAGGATTTGATAGGATATGATATTATCATAATGAGCCATTAATGCAGAGGCTCCTCTCACTTGTATATATATGTGTATATTCTGATCAATGAAATACAAGAGAATTATTCTCCATATTATTCTATTTCCTACATGGTATCAGAGCGATGTTTTCATTAAATATAACCAAGTTGTCCGGGAATAATCATCAACAAATGTAACAAAGTATTTAAACCCTGCTTTGGACTCTACAGGACAAGGACCCCAAACATCAGAATGGACTAACTCAAAAGGGGATGAAACCCGTTTATTGACACGAGACACTAAAGGAAGACGATGATGCTTGGCAAATTGACATGACTCACAATCTAAAGACGACAAATGTTGAAATTGAGGATAAACTTTCTTAAGAGAAGATAGAGACAAATGACCCAATCGACAATGAACTTCAAAGGGAGAATGACTGCTAGCGCAAGCTACCGCATGAGACACCCGATCATCCAGTATATAGTGCCCGCCAGATTCATAACCTCTACCAATAATCCGCCTCGTCAAAAGATCCTGTATCAAGCAATGAGAAGGAAAAAGTGAGACCCAACAGTTTAGTTGACGGGTGAGTTTACTGGGAGATAGGAGATTAAAAGCAAGTTTAGGAACATTTAGCACAGATGACAAACGGATAGAGGGTGTGGGATTAACAGTGCCAAAACCGAGAACTTGAGACTGGGAACCATCAGTGATGGAAACACTTGATGGATTGGCAAAAGCATTATAAGAGGAGAAGAGATGGCTGTTACCTGTCATATGATCAGTAGCCCCGGAATCTATGATCCACTTTGAGGAAGAAGAAGTAAGGGCAGTAGCATTATTACCTGTTGTAGCTGCGGCACTCACAGACGGTGTAGTAGATTTTAACTGGGCATACTCAGCAGCAGAAATCGTGACTGTGTCATGTTAGGATTATAGTTTTGATGATAACAAGTCAGAATATCAGGGTTAAGTATTTTGATCGATCAACTGATCGAGCAATCAGTTATCGCTAAGGTTTCAGATAAATGATCAAGTGTAAATCGGGTCTATAGTAAGTCTTTTTGATCGAAGAACTATTCGATGAATAATTTATCGATAAAGTGATCGATAATCGCTAGTGTAAAAATCACATGAGAGTATGGGAAATTATCGATAAACTGATCGATAATATCAGGTAAACAATGGAGTTACTGATAAGAGACCCAAATCTGAAGTGTATTTATCGATCAAGTTATCGATAAATCAGTCATCAATAACGACTTCGATAAAAGGTAACACTCTCTACTTGTTCTGCACATTAGTTCTGTTACAAGTTTATCGATCATATTTTCGATCATTTGTTTATCGATTACGTACTCGAACTTTATGCTCTAACTCTCTGAATGCAGGTGATCAAATTCACTGATAGATCGATAATTTTATTGATCACAAAATTATCGATCACATGATCGAAAAATCAATGTCCTTATCTACTCTTACTCAGTTTTGCTACAGCTAAATTATCGATAACATTATCGATAACTTTAACTTGTTTGCTTAAAGAAGTTTTTCACATAACGTGATCGATAAAGAGTCTGAGAATCGACATATTCGCATTAAGTTATGGTGAACCAATTTTCGATCAAGTTATCGATCACTGGTTTTTCGATAATATGATCGATCATTCAATTCCCCGGAATTCATGTTTTCACAAAACGTGATCGATAATCATTTCCTTTACCTTACAGGATTAAACTTCTTTCTTCACTATTATCGATCACTTGTTCGAATAGTTAATGATCGATCAACTGTTCGATCATTTCAAATAGCCTGTGTCTTTCTTTGATTATTTACATAACCATGTTTTATCGATAATATTATCCATCATACATTTATCGATAAGATGTTCGATCATCAATGACTGAAGCTTCATTTCAATAACATTTAAATTATCGATAATCTGTTCGATCAACTATATGTTCGATCACTTGTTCGATCATGCAATGATTTCCTCTTTCTATGATAATTCTTAAAGTCAATGATCCAACACTTGATCGATAATTTTAGTGATCTACTTCGAAAAGTCTTCATTCTGGTTATCGATAACTTGATCTATCATCAAGTAATCGATCACTTTTTCGATCAAACTAAACCAGAATGACATTTTGTTCTTCTTACTGATAAATGATTTCGTCACAAATCCTTGAATGATAAATTAGCTTTCTTTCTGTATTCAAGATTAAAGCACTCACCACAAAACTCTCATTTGTTCTAAGTTTGAAATATGCAGATTAATGAAAACGAGTGCAACGGCTCTTCAACGGGATTACGTAGACTGCGACCTACAGTGTCAGAAACTCAGACGCATTAATGGCGGAGCCGTTGAAACCAGTGAAACACGCAAACGAAGTCACAACGGCTAGAAGCCCTTCCGTCTAACGGCTATTTAACGATATCAACTATAAAAGGCGCGAAGAGGCATTAATGAAGAGATTGAATACCTGAACTACCACCTGCGATTATTTAGTTACGCATTCAATACTCTGTTTTTCACGTTACTACTGAGCATCAGTGTTTATCATTGAATTCACTCTGTAAGAGAGCCATTCACTACTTTTATTAAAAACTTGAGAGACACTCAAGAGTGTGGACTCTTGAGAGGGGTTGTATCCTTACGAGTAAGGGGGAGTGATTGAGCGATTCAATTACTGTACCGAGGCACCAAGAGCCCTGTCGATCTTGGAAGATAGTGAAATACTCAGAGGTGTTCTGGGGACTGGAAGTAGGTCACGTGGTTTAGACCGAACCAGTATAAATCTTGTGTCTCCTCTCTGCGGTTAAAATTTTCCTTACTCTGACTCTCTGTTTCATTCAATACTTGCACGCTTTTAATTTTAAATTTTTGTAACTCACCCAATTCACCCCCCTCTTGGGTGAGATTGTTTCTAACATTTGGTATCAGAGCAGGTCTCTTCACTAAGGATTTAACAGTCCGAAGAGAGATCAAATGGCAGGATTTGGAGATAGCGTGCTACCTGAAGGATGCTCAACATCTAAACCGCCAGGCTTCAGTGGAGAAAATTATACCTTCTGGAAAATGAGGATGAAAATCTTCATTAAGGCTACAGAGTATGGGTTGTGGGATGTAATAGAACACGGCAACTATGTCCCGATGAACACAATAGATGGCCAGCAAGTACCCAAGAGGTCCACGGAGTTCAACGAGGAAGATAAGAAGCTGGTGACTCTAAATGACAAAGCTATCAACATACTCACGTGTGCGCTTAGTCAGAGGGAATACTTCAGAGTCTCAAGCCTGGAAACCGCGAAGGAAATGTGGGAGGCTCTGGAGATAGCTCATGAAGGAACCACCGGTGTAAAACAGAGTCGAATCAACACTCTCACTACCGAATTCGAGTTATTCAGAATGAAGGAAGGAGAGAGTATCCGAGATATGGAAGTCAGATTCTCACATCTCATAAACCACCTCACTGCACTTGGGAAGAAATATAGTCAAGAAGACCAAGTGAGGAAAATACTGAGCGGTCTCACAAAAGAATGGGAACCGAAAGTAACAGCTATTGAAGAAACCAAAGGAGAATCCATTGGTTCTGTTGCAGCACTGTTCGGGAGCCTTGCTGAATATGAGAGCAAGCAAAAATACAAAAAGGAGATGAACGAGAAAAACCGGAAAGGCATCGCTCTTAAAACTCAAGAGAGCGAAGATGAAAATGAAGATGATCTTGATGATGATGAAATGGGCCTTATAGTCAAGAGGTTCAAGAAATTCTACAAAAACAGAACCGGAAAGAAGTTTCAGCCGAAACGCAGAATTTCCTCATATCCGAACGAATCAAAGGATCCAATCATTTGCTTCGAATGTAAGAAGCCAGGACATATCAAGGCGGAATGTCCCCAACTCTCCAGAGCAAAGGACAAAGAAAAGAAGAAAGAAAGATTCAGAAAGAAGAAAGCTTTCGTCACATCAATCTGGGGAGACAGCTCCTCCGATGAAGAAGAAGGAAGTGATGATGAAGAGACAGCTAATATCTGTCTAGTGGCCCAAGAAAACGAGGAATCAGAAACAGACGAGGTAATAATTTCTGAACCATCTTATGATGAATTGCAGTCCGAATACAATGCTTTACATTTAGAATTAGTAAGAATTGCAAAAGAGTTAGTTAGCTCTAAGAAAAGGATAAAGTTTTTAGAAGATCAACAATCAAAAGTTGAAGTCAATTCAGACTCGACTTTGACTTGTAAAAGTTGTGAAAAGAATGAAAGAAAGATTGAAGATCTTACCAGAACCTTAGAAAAATTCACCAAAGGTAGCGAAATGCTTAAGGTGATTCTAGGAGCTCAACGATGCTCTATGGACAAGACTGGTATAGGATACGATCCAACCCAAGATAAATCGAAAGGAAAGAAAAAGAATAGTGGTAGATCATATCTTACATATTTTAGAAATTCTGTGCATTCCTCAAATCCTTTTGCACTTTGTTCTCATTGCAACCGTAAAGGCCATTCAACTTCTTCTTGTTACTATAAGAAGAAAGGAGATTACGGAACATTAAAATGGGTGCCCAAAGGTACTTATGCACCAAAAATAACTCATACTAACCAAAAAGGACCCAAGAAGGTATGGGTACCTAAAACATGATTGTAATTTTTGCAGGTATGTCTCAAGGCATCCAGAACAAATAAATGGTATATAGACAGCGGATGTTCCAGACACATGACGGGTGACACTGAGAAGTTTACATCACTCAAACCAAAAGACGGAGGAAAAGTAAGCTTCGGAGGAAACCAATCGGGAAAAATTGCTGGAATCGGAGAAATCGGAAGTAGTATAGGCATGAAGGTCGAAGACGTGTACTACGTGGAAGGTCTGTGTCATAATCTCTTAAGCGTCAGTCAGAGTGCGGACAAAAACAACTGGGTGATCTTTGATTCTGAAGAGTGCTTAATCATAAGCAAAGATGATCTACCTTTGAAGAAAGAAGAATTGAATACGAAGCTGAGAGCTCCGAGGGACGGTAACTGTTATACACTTCAACTTGATTCTAAAACTTCTGAAAACTGTTTTATTAGTAAAAGGGAGGAAAGTTGGATTTGGCACAAACGACTTGCACATGTCAACATGAATCAACTTTCAAAATTAATAAAAAGGGATCTAGTTGTTGGTTTACCAAAAATCCAGTATGAACGCGATGATGTTTGTGATGCTTGTCAAAAGGGTAAACAAACAAAATCTTCATTTAAATCAAAGAAGATAGTTTCAACTGAAAGACCTCTCCAAATGATTCACATGGACTTGGTCGGTCCATCTAGAGTAAAAAGCTTCGGGGGAAATCTTTATACTCTTGTAATAGTTGATGACTATTCAAGGTTTACCTGGACTTTGTTTCTTTCCTCTAAAGATGAAACTTTTAATGCTTTCATTGTTTTTGCCAAAAAGGTCCAAAATGAGAAAGGTATATCTATTGTGTCTATCAGGTCAGATCACGGAGGAGAATTTGAAAACAACGAATTTGCAGAATATTGCGAGGAACATGGAATTGACCACAACTTTTCTGCACCAAGGACTCCTCAACAAAACGGAGTAGTTGAACGAAAAAATAGAGTACTCACGGAGATGGCTAGAGCAATGCTAAATGAGAAAGGGGTCTCACAAGTATTCTGGGCAGAAGCAATGAGCACAGCCTGCTATATTTCAAATAGAGCCTACATCAGAACACTGCTCGGGAAGACTCCATATGAATTGTACAGGGAAGAAAACCCAATTTGTCACACCTAAGGATCTTTGGAAGCAGATGCTATATCCACAACAACAACAAAGAAAACCTGGGTAAATTCGATCCTAAAGCTGATGAGGGTTTGTTTCTTGGCTACTCTAATCGTAGTAAAGCATATAGAATTTTCAATAAACGAACCTTTACAATA